AAAAGTGCATAAAATGTAGGTACAAAATACAAAAAATAATTTAAAGGATAAAATATATAAAATATATAAAATACAAAAAATAAAGCATAAAATGAAAAAAAAAGAAACAGAGACGTATTGATTGAAAGCAAATATTTGACAATTAGTCCATTAATTTTTAGAATAGAAATATTTTGATGGTAGTAGCTGTTCGATTGTATCGTGCTGAGCATGATCGTTAGCGTATAATGAGATTACTGAGTTGAACATTATCGGCGGGAGACGAGTGAGAGAAAAAAGTGGCTTGTTGCCCATGAGAAAAAAGAACCCGTGTTCCAATTAATGGCCAACATTGTGAGTAATCTGTGTAGTTCTTTCGATATATAAACTCTGGGCGTGAGCCTATAAAGCATAAGTCCACCTCAAGTCCTTCAAGAGCCTCCGTCAAGGTTCTCTCTCTCTCTGGACTTAACAACATAATGTAATTATCGCACTGTGCCTTGTAATTTACATGTTTTTTTTCTCCTCTTTTCTTTTTTGCACCCAATGATCAATGCTTAATCGCCACATATTTAATTTGCAGTATCAATTTTCTTATGTATAATTCATGTGAGAATTTTCAATTTCTATTCGCATCTAAATTGCATTGTATTAATTCAGTACAATTCGAATTTATTATAAGTTTGTTATAAATAAATAATTATTAACAACTTTTATTAGTAATGATTTTTTAAATAATTTTTTTGATTTTATAAATCATTGAATCATTATAAATCATTCATAAATCATTAATTTTTTAAATCATTTTTCTGATTTTTTAAATGATCCTTTTAATGATTTTTAGTTTTTTTTAATAATGATTTTTAAATGCTAATATTTTTGATAAAGATTTTTTTTCAAATAAACCTTCATTTGGATAGAATCTATTTTTTGCCTAGCATAGAATCGATAAGATCAAGAGCAGCTTGTTGGTAGCTGTGTAATCTACTCGCTCTAACATCTGTTTATCTGTAAAAATTATCATGTCAACGTATAAAATACAGTTTAATTCAACTATCCAACCCTCAATTATATCATCTATTGGCGAAAGAGAAAAAAAATCTACACAAAAATAGATTCTAAAAGAAAAAATTTCGGAAATGAAATATTTTTAAGAATTTTTGAGAAATATTTTTAATGAATCATTATTTTGTTATAAAAATAAAATACCACTTATGAAATTCAAAATAGAATGATGAATCATTATAAAATTTTTGAAGAGTACATTCCAATAGACAAGTGATATCTATGTGCTGCTGAAACAATTGACATTGATTGATCATCTTTGAATGATAGTCCAGATTTTATAGACAGTGATTAATATTATGATTCATTTCCTTATAAAGGAATATTTTTTTTTTTACAATTGGTAAGTTGTTTTCTTTTCGAAATTTTCATTACTGCGTCGAAAAAGAAATGAAATATTTACGAAACAGTAGGAATGAATTTTTGATTAGGAAACAAACATGTTGCACTACATGGTAGATACAAAATCGATTAATTTATAAACATTTGGGCCTAATTATTATTTTAACTTGTTTTGGCAGATAATATAGACTCTCACGAATGTGGTACAAAAGATCCAAAAGCGATTTAAGGTCAAAAAGTAAAAAATTATGCAAATTTTCCTAATTTTACGGATTTTGATTTTGAACATTTCTTGACGCTTTTTTTTGACCTAATTATTAATTTTACTTGCTTTGGAAGATAATTTAGACTCTCGGGAATGTGATACAAAAGATCCAAAAGCGATTTAAGGTCAAAAAGTAAAAAATTATGCAAATTTTCCTAATTTTACGGATTTTGATTTTGAACATTTCTTGGCGCTTTTTTTTGACCTAATTATTAATTTTACTTGTTTTGGCAGATAATTTAGACTTTCAGGAATGTGGTATAAAAGATCCGAAGTCGATTTAAGGTCAAGAAGTAAAAAATTATGTGAATTTTCCTAATTTTACGGATTTTGATTTTGAACATTTCTTGGCGCTTTTCTTTTTTGACCTAATTATTAATTTTACTTGTTTTGGCAGATAATTTAGACTTTCAGGAATGTGGTACAAAAGATCCGAAGTCGATTTAAGGTCAAAAAGTAAAAAATTATGTGAATTTTCCTAATTTTACGGATTTTGATTTTGAACATTTCTTGGCGCTTTTCTTTTTTGACCGAATTATTAATTTTACTTGTTTTGGCAGATAATTTAGACTTTCAGGAATGTGGTACAAAAGATCCGAAGTCGATTTAAGGTCAAAAAGTAAAAAATTAAGCAAATTTTCCTAACTTTACGGATTTTAAACGTTTTTTGGCGCTTTTCTTTTTTGACCTAATTATTAATTTTACTTGTTTTGGCAGATAATTTAGACTTTCAGGAATGTGGTATAAAAGATCCGAAGTCGATTTAAGGGCAAGAAGTAAAAAATTATGTGAATTTTCCTAATTTTACGGATTTTGATTTTGAACATTTCTTGGCGCTTTTCTTTTTCGACCTAATTATTAATTTTACTTGTTTTGGCAGATAATATAGACTTTCAGGAATGTGGTATAAAAGATCCGAAGTCGATTTAAGGGCAAGAAGTAAAAAATTATGTGAATTTTCCTAATTTTACGGATTTTGATTTTGAACATTTCTTGGCGCTTTTCTTTTTCGACCTAATTATTAATTTTACTTGTTTTGGCAGATAATATAGACTTTCAGGAATGTGGTATAAAAGATCCGAAGTCGATTTAAGGGCAAGAAGTAAAAAATTATGTGAATTTTCCTAATTTTACGGATTTTGATTTTGAGCATTTCTTGGCGCTTTTCTTTTTCGACCTAATTATTAATTTTACTTGTTTTGGCAGATAATATAGACTTTCAGGAATGTGGTATAAAAGATCCGAAGTCGATTTAAGGGCAAGAAGTAAACAATTATGTGAATTTTCCTAATTTTACGGATTTTGATTTTGAACATTTCTTGGCGCTTTTCTTTTTTGACCTAATTATTAATTTTACTTGTTTTGGCAGATAATTTAGACTTTCAGGAATGTGGTACAAAAGATCCGAAGTCGATGTAAGGTCAAAAAGTAAAAAATTAAGCAAATTTTCCTAACTTTACGGATTTTAAACGTTTTTTGGCGCTTTTCTTTTTTTTTTGACAAAGAAAATATTTGAAAAAGAAAATTAATTTTTGGAACCGAATTTATTAAAATACAAGAAAGGGTACTGAATGTTTTAGAAACAAAATTACTGATTCGTTGGTGATAAAGACGCCATGGAGTCAAAAAGCCTCCATAGAAGCATTTCGATTCGATACAGTCAGCAACTGGGGTTGAAGTTCAGAAGTAAAAGGGTCGCATTCGCGTAATGCGCAAGTCTCAAAGGAAAGTTTGCCAGGAAACATTGATTGGCTCAACATCTTCTCAGCTTCTCGTTCAGAGGTTCGATGCTAATTATTTCACTTTTTTTCTTGAACAGTTACTCCAAAGGGGAAAATTAAATTTTAGTTTGTATTTTAGATGGATGGATAATTTTACTTTTACGGAATTTAATGCAGACTGAACTCAAGCATCTAAATATTGTGAATGTCCTACAAAGTCTCCTATGAGGTTCCTTAAAAATTTTTTCTATTAATGAAAATTAGATCCAAAGTAAATCAAAATTAGATCCGAAATTAGATCCAAATAGTAAATCCAAATAAGATCCGAATTAGATCCAAATTAGACCTTCAAATGTTAAAGATTTCCGTAAATAATTTACACATTCTAAAGTTGTCTATCTTTCCGGAAGACTTCCAGAATGCTTAGTAAAGGAAATGAATAGAGTAAATAAAAATACGTTTCGAGTTAAAATGTTGGGAATATTTTTTTCAAAAACGAAGAAACTAGTATTTTTTCCTTTTTAACGTACTTTTTGTACTTTAATAAAACTAGTGTAATCATTTGTTCTATTTCCCAACCTGTTGCAATCTCTTCTGTCATAATGACTATTACAATGTCTGTTATAATTTCTGTTTTAATATTTATTATAAATCCTTTGTTAGTTCCTTCTTATTTAATGTTTTATTTCCTGTTTCTCACATTTTGTTTACCTTCGTCTCACGTATTTTCTCTACTAACTTGTCTAAAAGTTTTCTTGATCTTTCACAGAAAAAAGTAAATTTTCACATTTCAGGTGTGTTATTTACCTAACAGTTTCAACATCAGTGATTTTTTTTAATTAGGTTCTATTCTCTATTTCCATAGTAGACTTAGAAATGAAAATACTTCCTGCAGTATAATATGAGGTTGGACAATAATTTTTTGGAAATTATCTCTTTTCGTAGTAATTATTTTTGGTGATGGTCTTTACTAATCAACTCTAGTAATCATTCCTACAGCATCTAAACTTGCATCAACATTGTTGCAGGCTCTACAAAATTGAACCAAAATTAAAAATTTTGCTTCATTTTCAATTTTGGTTCATTGTTGTAGACCCTGCAACAATGTTGCTGCAAGCTTAGATGCTGTAGGTGCATCTTTAGTAAACATCTTTAAAAAACATCTTTTGTAATCATTTTCAGTAATCATCTGCAGTAATAATTTTTAGTAATCAAATATCAAGAAAAGCTAACAAAAAGAGTAACCGAAAGAGTACCCCAAAGGATAACCTAAGTATCTTAAGATAACCCTAAGAAGGCACTTTCAATTCAAAGAATACATTCAGATTTACCAAGAATTGCAGAGAATTGCCAAAGAATATTACGAATTGAAAATGGATGTACCCGGAAAGGATCGGCCATGGAAGCTGAGAATTGAGTACGGAAGTAAATCGCGTGGGTGTCGTGTGCGCATGTTTAAGCTTGTGGATTGAGAAGTACATCAGCAGGGGTAGCGTCGCGACGCGACGCCCTGAGGGTCCTCCGATCGGAAGCCCCGCCCCAGTAGAAGTCGCCACCAACCGGGAGTTAAACTTCAGAAATGAGAGGAGGAGCTCGTCGTTCTACTGAGGATAGAAGAGGAACTTTTCAACCAAGCCAGTATCTCTCTGAACCTCGTGAGGAGAGCTTCTTATTTCTTTTTTTCTTCTTTCAATCCTGACATACAACGTTCCCTGCCCTACAAAAAAGAAAAAAAATTTTTGCTACCGATCGTCAGGATATCCACCACCAGTCTGTTTCATCATCCACCTCTTAAGTTTCATTTTTGTTTTGAACAAGGATCATTTTTTGCATTATGCATTAATTTTCCTCTCACTGCTACCTTAGAAATACATAATTTCTTCTAGAACAATTGTTCTATTAGCAATAAAATTGTTGTATTAGCAATACAACAAATTATAGAATATTATAATTGATGAATTATAAATAAATATTCTTTGTAAAGATTACAAAAAGAAAAAGTGCTTATTGGAATGTCTAGTGAGTTAAAAGACAAGTGTAGTGAATAAAAACATATTGGGACATTCTACAATTGAAAATTTGGACTTCCTTGAGTGTTGTGCAAAAAGTTTGGAGTAAATTAAAGAACTATTTATTGAAAAATTTTGTGATTTTTGTGAAATTACGGATGATGATGGATACGAAGATGGAGCCTCTAACGCCTCCACACACTCCCCCCTCTTCGGGAATCGATCGGCTACACCCGCAAGGTGCTTCTGCTCCAAGGTGGATGAGGAATCCTCAAATTCATCTGCCGCAACATCAGCAGCAGCATCAGCAACAGCAGCAGCATCATCATCATCATCAACAGCATCAACAATTGCCGCAACAAACCGGTGGTTATCATGCTGCATTTTTGGATCATTGGATGAGGGGTGCTATTTTAGCAGCTAGGGGTTGTTGTCCTCAGAGTCCATTGTCTCCCCATCATCATGGACCACCTCATCATCCCATGCATTCCGCTCTTCCAGTACCGCCCCCCGCCTCCTTTCTCACCAAGAGGCTTCCCGGTCAAAGACCCAAGAAGCAGTTTATTTGCAAATTTTGCAACAGGCAATTCACCAAGAGCTACAATTTACTTATACACGAGAGGACTCACACCGATGAGAGGCCATATTCCTGCGAAATTTGCGGAAAGGCCTTCAGAAGGCAGGATCATCTAAGAGATCACAGGTAAACTTCTTTTCTTTGCAATTTTTGGTTCAATAATTTTTATCTCTCTTGGTCCATAATTCCGATCTTTTCTTTGACTAAATCTGAACTAAATCTGAAGGAATCGTTCAGATTTAGTCGAAGAAAGAAACAAAGTTTCGAAGTACGAATTGACTTTCGAAAGGATTCAAAAAAAGATCATAAATATTCTTAGGAGACATTAAAGTTCGATTTGTCATTCGGAACCTCTAATAACACTTCTTTGGAAGTGTATATATTATTTATAGTCTGAATATTGTGAAACTAGGATTAAGATCACTAGAGAGGTAACATTTATTATCATTCGCCCGAGACGGAAATTTTGTTTTCTTTTGGATTAAAAACAAAAGATTACTTTTTCTTGATAAGGCATTTCAAATTTGAACAATGTACATTACCTGTAGAAGATCTTGTCAATAGGTTTCTTAAAATTTCAAACACTTTTTACATTCTTATTTTTTTTTATCAATTTGACCTTATTTCTTACATCATTCTTTTATTTCTTTAAAGCAGATTGTCTAATTTTACGATTTTGAGCTAATTTGTTCTTGATAAAAGAATCATTCCTGTGTGATAAATGTTGTAATTAGTGATTTTTGGTAATTTCTGCAGTAATAGTAGTAATAATAGATAAATAGTAGTGGTAATAGATCTTTAGTTGTTAAAAATTTTCTTTTAATTTTAATAAAAATAAATACTAATTGATTCATCTTTTCTGCAGGTACATTCACAGTAAGGAAAAGCCGTTCAAGTGCGCAGATTGTGGAAAGGGTTTTTGCCAAAGCAGAACTTTGGCTGTTCATAAAATTCTCCACCTCCAAGAATCACCGCATAAATGTCCAATTTGTGCGAGAAGTTTCAATCAACGCAGTAATTTGAAGACACATCTTGCAACACACACCGAAGTACCGCAGGATCTTCGAATAGATCCACCAATGACAACAGAAAGTATGGACACATCAAATGTTCTAAAGTCCAGCGAAAGAATAAGTTCCACGAGAAAATTGGGTTTCAGTATAGAAGACATAATGAGGCGTTAGAAATTTACATCCACCCAATAAAGACTGTTAAAAATTAATTTATGCACTCGTCAAAAACTAATTTTTTAGTCTATAAAAATTGTTTCGTTTTAAAAGATTTTATGTTTTGAAAAATTGTCCTAATACCAAAGGTGTATCCTCTTATTTTATTTTTCTCTGTTTATGTAAATATTTCATTTAAAGTTTTAAATTATATTAACTGTAAATTATCAAGGAACCCCCCACGTGAGACAAATTTGGACCTCCGGAGAGAAATTTTCTGATGTGCATTGTCTCTTTCTCTCTGAACGTGGGACGTAAATTGTTGTGTAGGTTTAAGTTTCTAGAGATTAAATTGTATTTACGATCTGTTTCGACTGACGATCATCCAAAAGTGTAAAAGTAGATAGTCTATAGTTGATAAGAAATTGTATGAATATGGAAGAGCCAAAAATGATGCTAAATATTCTCTAGGTGCTAATCGAGTATTTTTTTTCTGTTTCTCAACGGTCATCGTAAAAAATTAGGAAATCTTGATCTGATAAGAAAGTTGGGCTCCTTCCTTTTTCCAGTGACCTGTAAATAGTCTTTTCTTCTTTTTTTTTAAAGGACCACCCACATGTGTTAGTATTTTTATTTTCAAAAAAACAAACTTCATTTTAAGCACGTCCCATTATTTGTCAATTCCTCGATGTTACCACTAATTTAAGATCGGTGTAAATAGCGCATATATTTATAAGAGATATAGTTGCCAAAGGGGGACTCCTAGGTGTAAATTTTGTCTTTTAGGTGTCGTCGTCGTCGTCAGCTTATCTCTCGACGCTTAAGAGTCGCCCGGAGCGTTAAGTACCTAAGCCTGTACATTAATTGTAAGTGCCGCCCGCGGACACCCAAGGTTTCAAGATTAACGTGTAAAGATATGCACCTATACCAAAAAAAGAGAAAAGAAAAAAAAAAATACCGAGAGAAATTAAAAAAGAAAAACTGAGAGTCACCATTCAGTCCTAGTCGACTATGTAGATTGTAGTGTGTATTAAAGATTTATTGTTATTGAGTGGAAATAGATAAAAAGTAGTATGAATTCACATTCTGAGTTATTTCACCCACCAGAAATCTTATCCTTTTTCTCTCCTTTAGGCTACATGGCCAACGTGCCACCATTTACATAATCAGGAAGTTCAATTTGGGATCTTCCATTCAGAAAATGTTTCGGAGTTAACATTTTTTATTTGATTAGATACTTTCACTTTTAAACTGCTTTGCTAGTCTTGTTGAATTCAAACATAACTTCCTTTGTTATAAAAAAATTCTTTGCCAAAAATTTCATCACTTTTTTTTAATTATTAAATTAATTTTTTTATTTCTTCCATTTTCGCTTGTATTATAGGAAATACAGAAAACTAATTTAATTAGACTTTTAACAATGTTTAACTTTAATTAATTCTCATCTCACCCTATGGAAAGTAATAAAAAGATAATGAAAAACAGTGTTCAAATATTGCGACAATCTTTTTCTCCTCTTTTTTCTCTCAATCCAAACTATACAATTTATATATTCTCTCAAATGCACTCCCTTATATCTCGTCTTTTTTTTTTGTTTTCTTTTTTATTATCATCGAAGAAACTTGGAGCATTGTTGCATCGTTATCCCCATTCTGATCGTAAACTTCAAAGTACTATATCGCCCCCTTTCTTTTGTACATCTCGACTCTCCGGTTCTTCCATAGTTTATGTGCCTCTTATCAAGCGTAACTAAGTACCTAATAGAACGGTATCTTTTTATCGAAATCGTATAAAGCTGAGTTTATTAACATTGAAATTATATCCGGAAGTATTTACAAATTTTGCGAATTATTTATTTTTCGAAAAAAAAATGTATTTATTTATTTATTTATTTATTAGATTAAAATATTGTTGAAATAACTTCCTTATGGAATAAAATTTTTAAAAAATAATTACAAAATTGTATTTACTTATTTTTGGAAAATAAATAAATAAGTAAACAGTATCAATTATAAAAATTTTAAAAACATTAAATACAAAAAACTATTCAGATTATAAAATAATTCAAGAAATGAAAAATAAAAATTATTCGGACTATAAAATAATTTAAAGTACTAAGCAATAGTAATTACTCTCTCAATTTTAATTCGTAAAAATTTTTACTAATTTGAATTAGTAACAGACTTTTTACTTTTAAATTAGTGCACGGAGAAAAATATAAAGTAAATAAATAATGAAATATAAATTAAATATAAATAAAATATAATAAAATAAAATATAATAAAAATATAAAGACTAATTTTATAGTCAGGGTGGTCACAAGATTCAGTTTAACAATTTACTGACCTTAAAATTATTTTCCTCGGCAAAATTCTTTTCACAGGAAAATATGAGAGTTTACGGAAAATAAGTAAAATTTATAAAATTTAATAATTTCTAAGAATTACAATTATAACTCTTCTTGAATTCAATTATTGTCTCTAATGTCCAACTATAAACTTCATCTCTAAATCAATTATCTGGATTAATTTTATATCATTTTACGAAAGTTCTTCGAGAATTAAATTATTTAAATACGAAAATTCAATTTTTTATAATAATTATAACTGTCCATGTTTTTTTTCGTATAATATTTTCAAAAAATAATCAAAGTTTTGAAGAATTTTAATTATAAATATAACCATGATTTCTTCGCAATTTTAATAAGTCCAAAAAAAAAATTTTTATTCTTTATTCGAAAATAATTAATCTTAAAAAATTTTGAGAAAAAAATTCTAAGAATTAAGTAGTTTTTAAAAATATTTTAATGTAATTTTTCGAAAACAATTGAATTTTTTAAGAGTTTCTGAAATATTTCAAAAAAACTAATTAATTTCTTGATGAATTTTAATTTTTATTTAAATATTTTGAACATGGTTTTTTTCTCCAAAATGTTAAAAATAATTCTAAAATGTTATTATTTTTTGTATGTAATATTTGAATTCGGAAATTTGTAATTGAAAGTAATGAAAATATTAAATTTTAAAAAATTAGAAGCTAATTTTCATTTTTAAATTTACGTTTAAAGAGTTTTTATAAAAAATTTTTGATAATTCAATTAAAATTCTTCAAAAGTTGATTTTTATAAATTCTAATCAAAAATACTTTAAAAAAATTAATTATTTTCAATTAAATTTTACAAAATTTCAATTATACAAAATTTTTTTTAATTGTATCTTTCGAAACTTTAGTTTTTCAAATGATATCAAAATTGAGACAAAAAACGAATAAAAAATGTTGCTTCGCAACACTTTTGATTCGTTTTTTTGTCTCAATTTTGATATTCTTAGAAAAACTCTGTTGTTTTAAACACACTAAAAATGATGTTTTCTTTGAATTTTCGTAATTTAAGCGGGAATTTTGCAAAAATAAAAATTAGCATCAGAACCATATTCTCCATATAATTATTTCGTATTTCTGGAAACAAGGCGCAGGGGAAAATAAAAAGTACAAAAAAAAAATGTATACAAAGAGTGCTCATTAATATTAACGAACATTTCGAAACTTTGTCTAAAAATTGTAACTTAGTTGCCTATTCATAAAGGGCAGAAAATTTCCCATCGTGAATAAAGTGCACAGCAGGTAGTCAAAGAATGACCTCGTTTCACCCTTTTTGCCATAAAACCCCTCTCTCCCGCCCCCAAAAGTCTAGGCAAAACTTTAATTACAATAATCAGAACGCAGAATCTTATATAGAATCATGTTGATGACTTCCCATATTGGACTACAAAGTACAACACCGCTAAACTTTAAATCGAACTTTGAGTTTAGTTTACTTAGTTCAGTTTATTTTATTTAATATTTATTTTTAATTTATTTATTTTAATTAAGTTTAGTTCGTTTCGTTTACTTTACTTCAGTTAATATACTTTACTAATGTTAGTTTAGTTAAGTTTTTTTTAATTTATTTTAGTAAATTTACTTTACTTTATTTTAGTTAGTTCAGTTTACTTGGTTCAGTTTATTTTAATTCATATTTATTAATTTATTTATTTAAATTAAGTTTAGTTAGTTTAGTTTACTTTATTTTAGTTAGTTTACTTAAGTTTACATTACTTTATTTTAGTTAATTTACTTTGCTTTAGTTAATTTACTTTGCTTTAGTTAATTTACTTTACTAAATTTATTTTACTTTAGTAAATTTACTTTACTAAATTTATTTTACTTTAGTAAATTTATTTTATTTTAGTTAATTTAAACTTTAGTTAGTTAAGTTAACTTTATTTTATTTAATTTACTTTACTTTAGTAAATTTTACTTTATTTTAGTTAATTTACTTTATTTTAATTATTTGATTATAGTTAATTTAAACTTTAGTTTATTTTGTTTAGTTTACTTTAATTTAGTTAATTTACTTTGCTTTATTTAATTTACTTGACTTTAGTAAATTTACTTTATTTTAGTTGATTTACTTTATTTTATTTAGTATAGTTTACTTTATTTTAGTTAATTTAAACTTTAGTGTATTTAGTATAGTTTACTTTATTTTAGTTAATTTATACTTTAGTTAGTTTAGCTTTTTTAGTGAGGCTTTAGTTTCTTTTTAGTGAAAAGCAGAAAGTGAAAGGCGAATCTTCGAAGTTTCTACATTGTCAAATTTTTTTTCTTCCACCTTCTTTTTGCTTTCAACCCAAGAAAATTATCGCTGCTGTTAATTTTCAAGACGTTACCTTTGCAAATTATTGTTTTGCGTGTTTAAACCGCATTTTACGATTTAATGGACCATTTCATTAATATATCCCGTATTTATCTGATCTTTATTTAATAATAGATTCAAATGCAGTATATTAAATCAACAATAAAATGCAGTTCATTGATTTTATGTTAATGACAATATTATATTTTTTTTCTTTCTTTTTTTCTAAGAAGAAGACATTCATCGTTTTCGAAAGTGATTTAATTTATAGAGGCATATAATTTTTGATCAGAGAAATTTTCACTATTTCACTACGAAATTATTATGTGTCGATTTAAAATAAATGTGAGAAAATTAATTGGGAGAAAGGCCATTTATTTTTTTTTTTTTTTTATTATAATTATTGGAGAAAAAAGGAATTAAATGCTAATTGTACTGATGAACTTTCTATTAATTGTTTATTGTTACTTTAATTAAGTATTGTGTATATATAATTATTTTTTAATTGATAGGACAATGCAAAGATAGGTAAGAATTTTTTTAATAATATTTACAATTTAAAAGAAAAAGGTAAATTGAAATTTCGAGGATTTAAAGTTTTAAAATGTTGAACTTTATAGGATTTGAACTTTCGGTGTTTTAAGCTTTCGGAGAGTTGAACTTTCTTGATTTTAAAATTTCGAGGTTTTCTTACTAAAAAAATATAAAAAGTACTTAAAAAACCTAAATATTTTTTTTTAAAAATCAGAATAAGATCTTTTAAAAAATTTGTCTAATTTTTAAGTTAAAAGCAGTTGAATAAAAGTAAAAAGTTGAGTTGAACGTAGAAAATCAAAAAGGAACTTTTAATCAGAGGAAATCTATTAAAAACATAACCCATAATTCCTTTGCATCCAAGACCCCATTCTTTATAGAAGAACTCTGTATTTTTACCCCCTCCCAAAAAAAAAACAAAAATTTCATCGCTATTTTTCAATGTCACTTTTCGAAAAAACAAAAACCCCCCTCAAATAAGTGCTAAGAGACTAAATGTCATTTTCTTTATGACTTAGAACAATATTCTCAGAGAGTGATTTGCGGTAGCTCGCCAGTCTTTTTAAATGATCTCTCTTGAAGTTGAGTAATCACAGGATCGCGGATAATAATAGGAGTGAAGTTATGGAGTGACTTTTCTGAAGTAGAAACTGACCAAAATTTTGCACTTAAACCAAAAAATAACTGGAGGGTAAGAGAGAAGAAGAAGAAGAAGATGGTTTAACTATTACGAAGAACCACTGAATCTTCTTTGAGGAGAAATTAAATTTGGAACATTTCAGGTACTTTATTGCACTCTGCAACTGTGGGAGCTCTTAAAACGGCCCCAAGGGTACCAATTGATGCCCTTTAGGTTTGAATCAAAAATC